TGAAAAAAAGAAAAAAACGCCGAATTGGAAGTTCTTTCAAATCTATTCATTCTATATCGAGCTTGCTCCACGATCACCTCATCTAGCTTGCTCGAATCAGAACCTTATTTATAGTCGTAAGCATTGAAATAGAAGGACCCCGAAAGTGAGCTAAATATTTTTTTGAAATTCTACGTCCGGTGATCTCGTGCGAAATGCAATCAAAAGTTGTAAATAATGACGAAGTGAAGATCACTGATTAGTTTTATGTTTTTATTTTTTGCTTCAAATGTTTGTGTGAAGAAATGAAAATGCAAGCGCTACGATATTATGCTCCAACCCAATACATAATACTTCGCTTAGAAAGTGCTCTTATCAGTTGCATTTTCGTTGCTCGACGGCTCCGCTTAGGGGAACTATGGACTTGGACAAGAGAATACGGAGTACACTTGCATTTCTGATTCATTTTAAACACGATAAAGTGTGAAGAAGCCGGCTTTGTAGGGTGTGTGCTCGAAGCCTGTTATGTTATTGTTAAGCTATTTATCAAACCACGCCAGTCGTGTTAAGCAGGCGTGGCAGTTGAATTATTATAAGTTTTATCGAGTTCTTGCCTTAGTCCTCTTCCTCTAGTTCAATGAGTTTTCAACCACGTAGGGCTTCACTTTGAGGATTTGAGACTTCTTCTCCTTCTTCTTCAGTGTTTGTACCGCGCTTGTTGGCGCGGTCCGCTAATCGAGATGGTTTGAGAGTAATGACAAAAGAGCACTTTCAGCCCAGATCTGCGTATAGATGGCGAGATGGTTCGTAGCTGAGTACCACGCCGCAGTTCGGTATTCCAAATCTTGGGCCAAATAGGCCTTTCATCGCATCGGCCGCGTCGCATGAGTTTGTACCATACTTGTCTGGACAACAAATAAAAAATTACGATCACTGCCTTGTACATCGGCTGGAGTCTGAAGACATTGCATAGGCCAAATGGCCTCTTATAGCGCCACTACGATTCTGAGTGGTAGTAGAATGCATGGCGCATCCAAACGAGATTGATCTATGCCGAATGCTGGCGACGTTATTATCCTTTTCCCAAGATTGAAATTCCTAGCATACACGATTCATGTTGGCTGCGCTTCTATTGCGTCGGTTTACGATGAGTTGCCAATGCCCCCAGCTTCTCCTGGACTGGTTCCGTTTGACCAGTCTGAAGGGATGAACAGCTTGTCTGGCCTAAGTGGCGTTCAATTTAGATGATGCCGATGCAAAGTTCCGGATTTCCTCCCTCAAAATTAGGTATCTCCAAAAGGCTTTCCCGGTTTTAGACTGGCTATCAGAAGTGCAGTAAAATGTGGTGACTCCTCAGAAAGGTTACGTGAGATAGTGGTTCAATTAAAAACAATTCTCGCTCTACGGTAAGCCAGCTTGACAGCAAATTTATTCTACTCACTTTGCAGGCCACTCTGAAAACTTGCCCTGAAAAAAGATTAGTTCGTGGTTGTAGCTGAACAGATCATGGGTAAGGGGAAATCTCACAACGCAGCTACCTTTCCTTTCCAAACTTCCTCACTTCCGCAGTGCTCCTCATCACTGCACATTAGAGCACAAGCTAATTTCTTCTAGGGTGGTCGCCCTCACGTCGGCGTTGATCAAGGCTCTGACAAAGGCGTTAAATCATCGTTAGCCTAACAAAGTTATACAGCCTTGGAGGGCCATAGTCAGATGTTCATCAGTTCAAAATATGCCGGTATTGAAACCAAGTCGATCCTGGAGGACGTACCTCATCACGGTCCGTCTCCTTAGCAATTACTTCACTTTCAATAAAAAATCAGGTTGTAAAGGAAGGGGGAGACATAGCACATAGATATGCGGTATAGAAAGCACCGTATGCATCAACAGTTCCTGAATTTCTAATCAATTTTCCAACTGTACTTTTCAACAAGCCCTTGTAAACAAACGCTCGAGTACACCTCCCCCCGTATCGCGAACTCCACAACACATTCTTGACCGTAATCAGAGAACAATGGAAGCGTTGTAGACAACTCTTTCAGAACTTTTGTTCGCTGGTGGTTGCGTCTTTGTTTTCTGTTTTCTGTTTTTCTCTTACTGCGATGGACAACACTGTTCCAGTGCGATTGTCCATAAAACGGCCATTCACCAAGCGCGCGATTTGCGGCGCGCTCGTGTGCGCCTTGGGAGCCCAACCCGAAAATACCCTCAGTTTTATTTAATTCATTCATCCGCATCAGAAGTGCTAACTCCATCAAATCAGAACTAGAACTAAAATTTTCCGAAGGCGTGTGAAGTTCGATCGTTGTTTTCACTCCCTTCCATCCTCTCTTCCTTTCTTCCTTTCTTTTCTTCTGTCCTTTGCTCTTTTCCATCGTGAAAGCTACTCACTCCGGTATCAGAAGAATATCAGACAGTAGAATATTTTTGCTTGTAATCCCAATGATGAACATTTCCACTTGTAGGTTTTCCCTTCCTTACGTAACTGATCAATACTGCACTACAGTTTCCATCGCTGATCGCTCATGTCTTTTCTTTCCGTCAAGAAACCCAACTAACACAGTTTCAGTTTAAGATTTTTGATCGATTTGTATGAGGCGTGGGCTAAAGAGAATTTGGCAGCACGAGGGAAATGGGGCCAATGGACCTAATAAAACCATCACAGCGCATGAACATAAGGTCTCTGTAATTATCTTCAACCCCCCATAAGGGCGAGCCAAAATGGAACTAGCATATCGGACTTATTTGAGCGTTCGTTGCTGACCTATGGATGGTGCGACTTTTACGCCGCTCTCCGCTAACATAAGCTGCTTGAAGAAGTGGTCGATCTGTTTTTTTCTTCAATACGGGAATCATGTTTTATTCGATTCATCGAAACATTGTGTACCATAACTCGCATTGGGGGATTCGATGTAGTGGGAACTGGTGCCACTTCCTCACGTGGGTGGGGAGGTCTCAAAGCGTATAGGATCTCTCTCGGGTCAACCGAGCATTTCATAACTCCTGGTACGGTTGGGTCGTAGCAAACTCCGGGAATTCAATTTTCTGACTTGCCCATCGGCTGGCCCCTGTATGTCGTTAAGTAGGCCAAATCGTGTTCCGAATTCCATTACGATTCCATATGGAGGTGGAATGCGAGAACTTCATTCTACTATAATTATTAACTGTCCATGAGAATTTTGAAAGCGCGACAAGCAACATATATGTATGTTATTACTTACTGATAAGAATGTGCTGATCAATGAGCAGAGAGATTTTCAGCTTAGCAGCAGTTGAGTCAATCTCTTATAGGTGGCCACGCATTCCACTGCTACTCGGAATCTCAAAGGGATTTAAGTAATCGTGGTTTATCCGATGAATTGCTGGGGTCAACCAATGTACGAGTCATTGCTGAGTTCTCCATACGAAGTTGTGGATGTTGAAACGCACGGAGTTAAATAGATATAACCGTCTTGGGATGCGGCACGCATTCTACTTCCATTTGTATTAGGTTGTCTCATAAACAGTGTCGCTTTTTTTCATCCAAAAAATTTTCATCTAAACCTCCATGCTTTTACATCGTGTTGTGTACCATTCGAAAGAGAATTGTCTGCTCTACAAAATGCTATGTCCCACTTCCACATTTCTTCCAGGGTTTTCAAATTTTGGGCCTGTGAAATGGGAGGTCCGGCCGACAAAAAATGGCCAAACCGACAACTATCTCTAACATTATCTTTCCTTGGGAGAAATCAATCTATGATGTACCTTCTACTTATGCATGACCTCTTCTAATCATTACACTACTAGGTTTTCCTACAAATCGCGTCGTTCAATTTCCAGAGCTGGTTTTTCAACCAGAACTCGACGGATCGAGCACCATTACCTGAGATCTAGGTCGAAATTTTTTTATGGCCGAGACGTTGAAGAACTGGTTGAATTTGAAGAACAAGTCATGACTAAGTTAGGAATGTACGACTGGTTGATTTTCTCATTTTCTAAGGGATAATTTTTTTCAAAGAAATGTGGTCACTTTCGCGGTAAAGCACCTTATACCGAAACATCTAAAATTCGAACTAATTCCCAACAAACAGAGAAACAAAACAAATGAGCGAGTAGAGCAGAAGAAGTGCTCGTAAAAGGAACACCACTCGATATGAAACAATGACGTTTACGAGGAACAATTTTAATTTGAAAATTGCTATGGCTTATCCGTCAGCCAATTCGAAAAGAAAAACGGCAAAGCTTTTTCGGCAACCTAAGAGTGGAATGTTTAGAAGAGGTCATGGGTAAGTATAGGGTATATCACTGGTTGATTTCTCCCCAGGGAAAATAAAGTTACAGCCAGTTGTCGGTTTGGTCAATTTTTGCCGGCGAGACCTCCCATTTTGCTGGCCTGAAATTCGAAAACTCTGAAATAGCGGTGGAAGCGGAACACAGCATTTTGTAGAGCAGACGAAATCTGTAATGTGTGTGGTGTTGGCCTATACAATGACTTGCGGGGGCCAGCCGATGTACAAGTCAGTGTTTTTATCCTCCCAGACAAGTCTGGTACCAATTAACCGACCCCGGAGGGATGGAAGGCTTGGTTGGCCCGGGCGACTCACGACCCAGGATTTGATCCCCGGACCGCTCGCGTGGTAAGCGTGCCACTACCGCCCATCACCGGAGATACGGAGCGGTTGAATGGCTCCAGTGTTGACCGAGCCGAAATCTCGATCCTGCAAGTAGTCATTGATCCAGTTCTTACTGAACAACCTTGCGTGGTAAGCGTGCCACTTGCCACTACACCACTTCCGCCCTAATACTGGTACCAATTAGAAAACTTTTGACAAGAGAAAGTTTGGTTGTTCTGGCTCTTTGTTCCAAAATCTCACCAGTCTTGTGCATGAGAGAAGCGGCTTCAACTTCAAGTGCATGACCGGCGCCCGTCCTTTTTGAATTTGCATAGAAATATGGCGTAACCTTACTTACATTACCGACGATTCACAAATCGATACGAAGATTTTATAAAATTTTCGAAGATAAGTAATCTTCATTTCAGAATGCTGCCACCAGTCTCGTATGCGATCGGTGTTTGGGAACCGCAACGGTATTTCTGGCTATTCATCATGTTTTTGCATTGCCCTCCGAGAATCTTCTTCCTCATAGTGAGTTCTTTTTCGGACTGCGGGATAGTTTGTGTAAATGAGACAGTTCTAAGTTTGGGATTCCCACAAGGAGAGGCATGCAGTGCGATATTTCATACCGCCTACAGTAATCCTGATTTTGCAGAGGAAAGATATTCCAGGGTGCTTGAACCATTTCATCTGCTTTCGCATGCCCCTAGCTCCCCTGTAAAAGGCGGATTACTGTAGGCGACACGTATGTCTAATGAGACCAGAATTGCTAAACAGTTCAAACAAACTTCTTGCAATGTTGAAAAAATTCTTTTCAGTTATATCGAAGGGCTTTTCGTAACGCTGCCCCCAAATCTGCATGCTATCGTCGAGTGATATATTTCTACACGAAAACAATGTGGTCCGAGCTGGTTGGCCTGATCGCCGTAAGCGTCCTTGACATCAAATGCAATTTCGGTGAGATCTAGCTCTGTCTTAACAGGTCTTCTACAAGAGCACTTTTTAAACTGAGTAGGTCTCTTTGATGTTTAAAAGAATGCGTTGAGATAAACTACTAAATTCACGTAAGCCCAGAATAGAATCGTGGAAGTGGACGCTCCTCCCATAAACACTTTAATGAATGAAACCGATGCGAGAGAAAGGAAGGCTGGTCCGCAAACGCAAGGTTTTACAAGTTCTATGACACTATGATGAACGATCTAGCTCCAGAGCTGAGCAGGAGGAAACGAGCGGCTTGGGGAGCGTACAAGAACATCGAGGGAGTAGTGAAGAAGACGAAGAACATCCGGCTCCGTGCCCACCTCTTCGATTCCGCTGTCCTTCCTGCCCTAACCTACGCCTCAGAGACTTGGACTCTGCGCAGGCAGGACGAGCATGCGGTCAGCGTTATCCAACGCGCTGTCGAGAGGACGATGCTAGGAGTAACCCTTACGCAAGTGCAGAGGATCCGGTATGTGCGAACTACGCCAACGATCGAAGATCAGGGACGCTGCCGTTTTCGCCAAGGAATCGAAGATAAGGTGGGCCGGACACGTCATGCGATTTTGCGATGACCGTTGGACCAGAGCGGTTACCGACTGGATCCCTCGGGACGTCAAACGAACACCTGGACGACCGCCGGCCCGATGGTCAGACTTCTTCACGAAAGCTCTGAACGAAAGGAATGATGGACTTCGTGTCCCTCGAGCAAGGAGGATCCACTGGACCACCCTAGCACGCGACAGGGACACGGACTTTCTGGCGCGCGCTCAGCAAATTCGTCATGTCAACGGCGACAGGTGAACAGTGATGACACTTTGGTCTCTAGCTAGAGTCGCCATACGTCATCACCTCTATCTTAAACGACGTTCTCCTGAATCTTTACTTCGTGACATACCTGCGCCTCTTTTCGTCTCTGGCTCTCGCTTTCTGGACTCTTCTATTCATATCTGAGCCATAAATGAGCATGATCTTTAAGGCTTCGTCAAAGTCTCACTCCACTCCGCGTCATCTACGGTTGTTCTTGAGCCCCTTGGCACATTCTGGACGCAAGTGTGTCTTAGATTAATTTGCGACATACAAATTGCGACGCTTTCCTCTGAGCCAGTTAGTTTTCCTTTCCACGTTCAGCCTCTTGCAAAGATAAAGCAAAGCTCCGTTAATTTGAAGTTACGAAGATTGTACTAGGAAGGGCAAAGCTCCCCCATCGTGTGAGAATCCTCAAAGATATTCTTACACCCTTTGACAGGAAACACTTCATAAGTTGTTCGTCAGTTTTCTTGGAACCGTAACCAAGATGAAGAAAGGATCAAGCATTTGCCGTTGATCAATTCCTTTTTGGGATGCGGCACGCATTCTACTTCCATTTTGTATATCGCGGTGGCGAATGCGGTTGGCCTATACAATGACTTGCGGGCCCAGCCGATGACAAGTCAGTGTTTTTATCCTCCCAGACAAGTCTGGTACCAATTAACCCGACCCGGAGGGAATGGAAGGCTTGGTTGGCCCGGGCGACTCACGATCCAGGATTTGATCCCCGGACGCTCGCGTGGTAAGCGCGCCACTTGTCACTACACATCCGCAAATTGAACTTTGCAATCACTACGCCAGATTTTAAGTGACTGTGGAAACTTTCGACTTTGAGAGCGGTGTGATTAGACGCTGATCATTAAGAGTGACTCATTGTAAATCCATAAGAGCATAGTTCTTTATCAACTGAACATCAAAATGGGAATGGTATTTTTTTTAATCTGGCAGGCGGACTAAAAACCCTCTCTGAAGAGAGCATAAGTGTGTTTTGGATATGTGTTGTAAATCTTACAACTCAAAACTACTGGCTGATGTTTCGCTATTTCAGTAATTCATGCGATCGCCTACGCACTATGGATAATCTCGTTCAACTTCAACATGCTCTTCAACACCACTCTTCATCACTACGGAGGCATTCGAGAAACATCGCAGAAGGTATTCTTTACACTTCATTCCCATTAGTTACATTTCGGAATTGAAAAAGGCTTCACAAAGACTTCTTAATGATTGGGCTTTGTGGAACAAAGCTGAAAAAATGATGAAAGTGGGACAAAGCACCGCTGTTGTTTTATTAAAGGTCTCATGAAATTTAAAAGTACAAGTCCAATTCTGAATGGAAGTAAGACATCAAGTCATGAAGGCTCCAGTTGAAGGTTCTTGGTCCCAGCATTCAGTTCCCGTTTGGGACAAAAGAAAGCTACAGAGCATGCCGTTCTCCAAGTCATTCTCTTATTCCATAGGAAATATAGTACCTTACCATAAGCGAGGATGTTTATGATAGTAGGATCAGATCCCGGGCCATTCGTGCGCCGCCTACCACTGATCACTCTGCCGCTGATTTCGTTATGGGTGAAACTCCAGTTCGGGGGGGCCACTCCATTTTTTCTCCAATACTCAAGATAAGGATGAGAGGGCTCACGACACGTAATCGACTCATTTAAAGTAGACTTCTGATAAGTATCGGTGTAATGTGGAAGAAACCCTGAGATGCTTTCACATTTCCGCCTGCCATGGTCCAAGGGAACGGTCCTGGACCAGGAGAATGGACACCTCGCAAAGGGCTAAGGGTGGAGGAGCTCCAGGGTGGATCACCTGTGCAGAAAAGTGGATAGGATGTGGGCAGGTGTGTGGAATGTAGGACATCCACCGGTCCTTATCAAAAGTACGCTTGAAATGAGTCGTTTACTTATTATCTTATCCATAAGTGTTGGATAGCCCAAAGGAGTGCTCTCTATATTGTGGATAAGATAGCAATGGAGTGCCTCCCCCCGAACTGGAGTTTCACCCGTGTATGTATCAATATTTTACAATCTTGCAACTAAAGCTGAGAAATATTCATTATTTATTACATTTTTGCACTGTGACTCGTGGCTATTTGGCTAACTCAAGCTTACGATTCTAGTACGAGGTGATCTGGCGAATCAAGGTGGTCATGTTCGTGAGCGGTCTAATTCTGTCTCTTTCCACAGCCGTCTCCTATCCGCTCTTCCTTGCCTACTGCATCAAAGAAGGTTTGTTGGATACTTTTACGAAGAGTCTACATCTTAGTAGCTACAATGAATCAGGAATAATGAGATTGACCTCTGAAAGCCTAGTTTGGTAATCCCACAGACGACCTTTCGGCTTATGTCTGATATAGGATGAGACGTTAGGCCCTTACCCAAAAATATTCACTCGTGTACCATGAAGCGGATTCCCGCAGATTCCTGTTAGCTCCTTCGGAAAGATGCTGGTGTCGCTTGAGCTTTAATTTTCTTTTCAGAAGGTCAAGTGTTGTATATTCGCTGCACTCTCTTCGCCCATGTCAGCGATTACGTTGGCGATTACGGATTACGCATTGCAAATTCGTTGGAGAAGAGCGGATCACATACAGCTACCGAATTTCACTCAACTCCACTGGCTCACATATCTCTCATTTGGTTAGGAGGCAGGCGGTTGGGCGCTGTACTCTGGAAAAGTATTGACTGTAGCCTTTTCGGGGAACATTAGTAGGAGCTTAAGGTAGCCAGGTTGGCCTCCGAAAAAGAGACTTATATTAAAGCCCAGACTACTCACGCGATTTTTGAAAATTTTTGTGCCTGAATCCTAAAATTTGGGGACCACTGGAGCAAAATGGTGGAAAAAAAAAAAAATAGCAGATCATAAAAGAAATAGAAATATAGAGAATAATAAGAAAAAAAAAAACAAGGACCAAGCAATAAAAAGAAAAAAATATAGTTGGAAAGTCAAGAGTAATACGCAGATATCTAAAAATATATGCTGAAGTACAAATTATCTAGATCAAGGATAAAACAAATCAAATCTAATCATAATAGAATTCTGTCACATAACTAGCGGAAGTAACATTAACAGAAAAAAAAAAACAAAAGGTGAATAGAAATAACTCACAAGGACAAAAAATAGTCTGTACAGGCAAACAACGAAAGTGAAAGAATAAACACAAGAATTCAGACGCACTCTGTAGTCCATCCGTCAGTTGGTGGTAAGCTGCATTGTTGGCTCAGTTTTGCGGTAGTTTGATGATTGTAGCTTTGATGAATGGCGTTGTAACGACGCGACAGCCGTGTGTTGCCAAATATCGGCGATTGCTCTTTCACAGTCGTCTGGCCCTGTTAAATTTATATCCAGTTCAAAGAACGCTGCTCTGAACATCACTTCTAGTCTATGATGATATTGTTTATCTCCTTTTGACTCTGGAAGTCGGTAGAGAGCCAAGCATACTAGAGACTTCCTTCAGAGATGATTCGAGATCCTGTTCGAGCAACAGTTCAAAGCATTCAATGACATGTTGTATACACTGAAATACGAGTACTGTATAGTTGTTGTTTATTGTGACAATAAATTTTTGCTATCGTCGGAATAGATGGATGTGGCAATGGAAGGGCAGTCTCTGCTTTCAAATTTTAGCATATGTTTTTTGAGGAATGCCTTCTGTCTTGGAATTCTGTGCAATCTGTCACGACTTGAGCAGCACTCTAAAACATTCATGGTGGGGCATGAGTATGGTGACAAGACTGCGCCTCAAAAAGCGCAGTTACATAGTAATTTGCAAGAAACTTTACTGGATATTCGATTCGTCATGCATATAATAAAATCGTAGGATTGACTAAGCCTCGGAGGGAGGAGGGACTCCGGAGTAGGTGAGCCAATTACACTATGGCAAAGTTTGAATGTTCCTGATCACAGTAATCATAAGCCGCTGTTTGAGCGAGAGAGCGCAGACGAGAGCATCAGGTCGAGGCGATTTAAAGGACTGAGTTCAAGTTGTCCGTAGACCAGCAACTTGTAGCGCGGTTGTCGATAAGGAAGAGTGGGTTCGAATATCGTCAGCAGCGGGAAACAGACTATCAGAAACCACAGTAATTTCGCTCTTCAAAACCGTCTTCCCTTATTCCAGTTCTCACAAAATTAGAGAGATGTTGCCGTTTAATTGGCAAAAACTCGCATAAAAATTCCAACGTTCCCGACGCTGACTCGACGCAGTTCGAGAGACCCTTTCTTTACGTGTGGAAGGCTTGTAGAGCAATCCCATCACTGGTTAGTAAAAGGAAACCTGCATAGCTTTATGTGAACCTGCCACATACTGCTCAAAAGTTTATGAAGGGAATGGTACATTCTCAACGAGGGTGTAGTGAAATTACTGTGGTTTCTGACAGTCTGTTTCCCGCTGCTGACGATATTCGAACCCACTCTTCCTTATCGACAACCGCGCTACAAGTTGCTGGTCTACGGACAACTTGAACTCAGTCCTTTAAACCGCCTCGATTTGATGCTCTCGCCTGCGCTCTCTCGCTAAACAGCGGCTTATGATTACTGTGATCACATTCAAACTTTGCCACATGTAATTGGCTCACCCACTCCGGAGTCCCTCCTCCTCCAAGGCTTAGTCCTAGAGCTCTCACCTTCCTTCTTGGGATTTGGAGCCGAGCCAGGCGCCGTTCTCTAATCGTCTGTGCTCTGGCCTTTCGCGGCAGAGAACATGGGGAGAGTTCAAGTAGTCACGTAATCCAAGTTGCTCTGCCAGGGCACCGTTTCACACTGGCCCAGCTTCCCCATTGTGTATTTAACATAGCTTACCAGCATTTACACGTACAACGTGATGAGCCGATTAGCCGACATCGGTAATTTACTGCCGCTTCAACAATTAAAGGAATCCTTCACGGAAAAATCATGATTCTATTTCAGCCATAAATCACTGGCTTGAGACTCATTATCCACGATAAGAATGAAAAGAACAGAAATATTGCTTTTGTTTTGTAAAAAAATTCGAAAATCGAAAGGGCTGCTACGCGTTCAAAGTGCCCACGGACGTCTTTCACAAATGCTGGCGACGGGGATGCTTCCACTTGGTTCTTGGAGTGCCTTCACTAGAAACTCTTTCTGGCCTTCTGCTTTATTGCATTCACATCTTACACTACTCCATCCTATTCTATCGATCGATTTGCCTCTACTCTCCGAATTACCTTCGATTGTCCATAGAGTGTAGTTTTTGTACGTTTGTTTCTCTTCGGAAACCGAATCTTCATGCGTGAAACTTTGTGTGCTGTTTCCAGTGATCACAACTGACACATTCATGTC